ATCTGAAAACAAAGATGTTTCAAAGGAGTCAAATGACAGTGTGGATAATGTTCAAAATACTACTCTAAGGAACAACTAGGGCTTATCCAACTTTGGGGTGAACGTGGTCACGGGATCCTAATGTTAGAGTTAGTAAAATCGTTTAACCCAAGTAGAAGAGAGTTCAGAGCCCCAGAGTAAGGATCGAGGAGTAAAAGATCCTAATACCACCTTGATGGCGACGTGGGCCCATAAGGCAAACAGCCATGTTAGTAAAATGTTTTAAAATGTCTAGACTCGACTTCGGCCAAGGAGTGTGGAAGGGGGATTCCTACAGGCAGTCGGCTCTAATACCAACTTGTGACGCCCCCGATTCAATCGTACACTAATCATACACACAAACGTCTACGATCAAGATCAGGGACTCACGGGAAGATATCACAACACAACTCTACAAATAAAATAAGTCATACAAGCATCATATTACAAGCGAGGGGCCTCGAGGGCTCGAATACAAGAGCCCGATCATAGACGAGTCAGTGGAAGCAACAATATCTGAGTACAGACATAAGTAAACACTAGTACATATGCCCGTGCGTTGCAACGGAATAAATAAGTAAATATGTGCTTATAAAAATAAAAATAAAAGTTCAGCACCCAAACAAATTTGCAAGATAGCAAAAAATGATTAAAAGTTCCAGGGGGTTGTTCTTGGATAAATATATACATTCTCAGATAGGGCCTCTACTGTGTTATTTGTCACTCAACTAAATCAAATATAGTTACTGTTGTCACTCAAAAATAAAGTTACTGATGGGACACAACCTTTGTATTTGATGGCTTTCTACTTCATTATTCCACAAAGTCTGTACACAATACATGTTTGATGGGACACCGACATGCTCATACATTTCTCTTGTTTAAGTTTTCTCTCCTTGTTCGTCGGTTTCTTTCCTAAAACAATATGACAGCAAGTCATCGGGCAGAAATATAATCACCACTGGTAATAATAAAGAGATTTCGAGAAAGTAAAAATACATCAAATAGGAGAAGCTGACACGCCCTCTTGAAATTCCTTGAAACTGAGTGACACCTGATGCATGACCAACACACACCGGAAACAATACAGACCTGCATGTTTTGTACACTTTCCTGAGTTGAATCCTGAATTTAGTAAGATAAGGGACAACTCAAGATATAGCAACCTTCAAATTCACTACCCTTCAGTAGCTGTAGCGGTATAGATAAACTGCCAATAGTATAAAATGTTGTGATTGGTTTGTAACGGTTTTCGCCCGATTGTTCGTTGATTAACTGGACAATTCTCTTGTTAATTAGTCGATGAGGTAAATCTTTTGCCCCCGTTTTGAAAAAAAAGTTGTGGCGTTCCAAACAGATAAAAATGAAGTATGTCCGAACTGTACTGTCAGTCAAACGCGACGTCGCTTCTTGTAGCTGAGCTTGTTGACGCCCATGTTAGAATTCCCATCCCTCATGGCGCTCCTGTAGTCCTGTCCCTCCTCTCCCACTCCAGAACACGCTACTCCGTCCTCCGAGAACCTCTCCGGCAGGGAGGCCTCCGCGCCCTGCTCGCCCCATGGGCACCCCCGCCTGTCCATCCGCGTGACCGCGCCGGCGGACACACCTGCACGCTCCCTTCCACCGAGTTGTCCTCTCCTGGTCACCACCGCCCTCCTCTAGACTGGACCCACCTCGGGAACCGGACGATCTCTTCTGGCGTTGGTAAGGAGCTCTATCTTTCCTGAAATTGGATCGATTGTTCTGTGGGATCTTTCTTTGCTACTCCCTTTATAAACTAATAAGTAGTGATCTAAAAACCCTTATATTAGTTTACGGAGGGAGTACAAGTGATCTTTCAGTTCTGTGAAAGTTAGTTGCGGATTTTTTTTTTTTTGCGAGATGCGCTACTAATCTAATCAATCCATTATCCATTACCATCCCAGCACCAGTAGAATTACTGATACATGAATTCGGCACATATAATGTTTAGTATTTAATTTGATTACTATTACACCCTGCACACTCTGCTCTTAGAGTTTCAGTTGGCAGACGGTTATTTCTTGTTACAGAACCAAGATGATATTGCTCCTCTGATTTCTACAGATCTACAGAACATACCCACCCAGTGGCAAAATGTAGGGGATATGTTCGTAGTTACAAATTACAATCACAATAAATTACTTTGAACACAAACCCAATGGTATCAAGTTTGCATGGCATAACCTAACCCATGTATAATTGGTTTACTTACGGAGCAAAGAATGAATTTGAACAACCAAAATATTCCTGCATTTTGCAACAGTGTGCCCGTGCGTAACGGGAGAAACAAAATAATTTTGCAATGGGAGAAAAGGGCATTTCGCAATTTCATATAATCTTTGTTTAGTTACCCCTCTTCTGTCTACCACCCAATGCCAGGGCAGGAGGCAGGAGAGGCTTGCCGCAAGCCCACACCTGACACGACCAAACCTATTCCCAGCAACGCCGATCCACCACAGCCTCTTTCCCGTCAACACCGAGATTCCGCCTTGTGGTGCACCCATGCATTGGTGTCTGTGTTTGTTACTTTAATTAGTTAAACCAAGTATGCATTATTAGCGACTTGTTGATGACTGAGTCGTAGGTGCTTGACATGAACTCGTCATTCCTTGTGTGACACCCATGTCCAAACATATTCAGTTTTATCGTCATGGAAGAAAAAGAAAGATTAAATTCTTTTTCTTTATATAAACTGTGTTCAGCACAAGACTACAAAAAATTGCAACGGGTTTAATCCTTACTGTAAAAACAGGGAATCTAGTGAAATCAATTGGGAAAAGTATAAAGTACTTTTACGAACTAAAAGCTGCACTTATATGGACAATATGACTGTATTAGGAGAATGAAGATGCTGACAATGAACTATGGTGAAAAACAATTATGTGAAAACAACAATTTTCCCGCTAGATGCATAACTGTAGAGAAACATCCAATTGATTGTATCATTACTTCAATGAACTAACCGAGAAGTAGTATTACTTAAGAACTACATATATTCAAGATGAAAGCATGTACACCTAAAATTTTGTTGACCAAAACCAATAAAGCGTCAACATTTCCCGGATCCATAGACATAAGAACATACTGGATTGATACCCACACACCTAATAATTTCCTGCACTTTAGTGTGCCATTTGCAAGATATTCAACAAAAAGGACCATAAAGAGAGCTTAGCCATTCCACCTCTAGACAGTACAATCAGACCTTTAGCTTAAGCGTAATATCTGAACTGCAAGTGTAAACACGACACTCATGATAACAGATGAACATGTCAACCTACTTGCCTAGAACCAATACAGAATTGACATATACGGTCGACTTTGTTTCGTATTGAAGATCCAGACACTAAAACCTGAAAAGTAGTACAAACCAGGAAAGAACAACGATGCTGAAATTACAATCTAGATAAAACATACCATTTAACTGAACAAGCCTGCCACCTTGAGGATTCCCATGTGTCTACAGTAATACATATAAATGAAGCACTCTAGTGTAAAAACTAAAAAAGATAAATTGGATCTCAAATTCTTTGTGTCTTGACATCAGGAAAGGAAACTAAGCAATGGTGAGGTTGAATATAGAAATTCAATATAGAAAGAATCACTGTTGTAAGTCCATTTATTGTAGCAGTTAGGCTGATGTGCAGGATCGATCAGCTAAAACTCGCAGTCGAGGGCCTACTTGACCAGCTTTCCAGCAAGCGTCGCATCTTGGATGCACGGCTGGGCGAGGCAGTACTGTCACGGGTTGAGCAGTTAATTAGAATTTTCTGTAAACAATAAGAGATCGAACAGTCTATGTATAATTATTCAAGGAAAGTCTGTTGAGCAGTTAATACAGGCTACACATCAAACTACAATGCATCCACAGTATATGACAACCAAAGACATTCGCATAATCTGGAAGACAACCATGCTATCATATTGATGAAGCAGGGAAGAAAACATAAGAAATCTGAACTCACATCATTATATTGTTTAGGCTTCGCTTCCTTCTTTCTACCACGTCCTTTTTTCAGCTCTTCTACGGGTTCATCTTCATCTTTCACTTCAACAACTTTCTTTGACAGATAACACCAACAATGTCAGCAACCAAGATGAAAATAGGCAAAACATTGTTCAGCACACAGTGAGAGACATAACCAAGGTACATTTGTGATCTGATCAATTGTTTCAAGTAGAAATTCAGAATAGAGGTGTTTCTTTGTCAGCAGATCATCCAACTTGCCTTCAAATCAAAAGCCTCCTACCATGCAGCTTCTCTTTCCGGCCTTCTCTTCTACCAATACCTTGCACTAGGCCTGACACAAACATAGAGATGGGGACTGGCACGAGGGGGTGCCGCAGGGCTGGTTTCCTGGATCGGCTGCTCGGTGTGGGCGCCCGCCTCAGCCTACCTGCCTTTTTCCGTACCATTGATGATATTTCTCCTACCGACCACGACGAAACCATCGATCTGTCAAGACAAACATAAACTGATAATCTGAACTTTGTACCAATTACTCACTGATAAACACAATGTACCAGATGGCAAAGGCATCCAGAAAAATCATTCGCCTTCATGCACGTGCAGTGCAATTCATAACTGCGATTTATTCCCCATCATGTTCTTGAAGGCATAATATTACATTTAGACTAAAAGGACATGCAACTTTGTTTTCATCAAGTAACTGAATGATGTCAATTCTAGACCGCATGTTTCTTCGGTTCAAGAACAACCAACACCAAGGGAGTTCAGCAAAGATTCTATATAACATTATCAAAAGATCAGTCCTAGCCTTTTCAAGTGGAACAAATATGAATGTTGCAGGAAAAAGGTTCAGTAACAAAAAGAGATTGTATTTTACCTTGAAAAATTGGGATCCTGTATGTCAACTGCGTTGAACGGATCATGGAATAAATAGATGTCAGCATACTGATACAATGCTCGGGCTGTCCGAGTCCTTTGCTTCTGCCAGGCACTAAGAGTGCAGACTCACTCTCCAATGATTTCTGATCTCCAAGTCTTTCTTTAGCGAACACCACTCAAGGACCCTTCCATACTTCTCCCTCTCCATCGTCTTGCCGAGCAGTATGTTGTCCTGAATTTTGTCGCTTTGTATCCATGCAGTCTGGCTGACATATGGCATTGTTCTGCAAGTCTTGGCCTCTCCTAATAGCTTTGGAACCATACCATTCAAGAGAGCAAACTTGATTTTCCAGAGCCGGCCGTCCCACAGACTGCAACATGCAGGCCTTGCTGAGCTTGAAAATTCAGATCCTTCAGCGTTGGTATCTCAGGTGAGCCATCCCAGAAGAAGCACCCATTACTGACCTCTTGCAACATTGGAGCTACCACTTGGTAGCCTCTGCATATAATCCACCGACAACTCCTCAAGGCATATGAGAACATCTGGATTATCCTGAGATGATAAAACCAACATAAAGCAGATTGCCATTCTGCAATAATTGAAATCAAGACTATATCCTAGCTAATTAGCATGCTGTAAAGAAGAAGAAAATCCGCTAAAATTAAAGGGCCACTGATCTAGATGGATGAGATGTTGGTGGAGGTACTGGCTGGCCAGCGGCGAGTGAGCAGGCGGAGGTGTGTCCTCCATGGCCGCTGCCCATGGCATGCAAGTGGTTTAGAGCGGGGCTGCAGAAGATGGCGCAGGCGACGTGCAGCCACGGTGCTGCACGGGCGAGGTGAGGGAGACGCGGGGGGAGGCGTAGGGGATGGCGGCCGAGATCTGTGAGGCCGGTCGTGGCCGAGACCGGAGCTAGGTTTAAGGAGGGGCCATGGATCGAGGCGAGCTCGATGGGGCCGAGAGAGAAGGAGTAGAACGGAGATGAAAGGAGGGGGCAGGCGGGCTGAGGGGAGATCACTAGCGTGGCCCTCGTCGGAGGCGGGCGGTCTCCAGCGGGAGGCGCTGAATCGGGCGGTCATGCGCCGGGCGGCGTAGAGGGGATTTTTTAGTCGGGGCAGAGGGGAAATTGGGGAAGGATCGCGGGTTGAACACTATAAAATACAGGGTTTTTTTTATAAAAACGAAGCGTTTTCTCAGATCCACTTACAAAGGGACTGCGGGTTCAGTTACCAAGGATTACAGGGACATTTCTGTAAAAAGGGCGACGGACGACCAGAAGCAATGTGTGGTTTATTATTATTAGGGAGAGGGGGAGAGAAATTTGCCTTAAGAAGGCTAGCACAAACTGGGATATAGATTGAAAGAGGTGCAAGCCTCCTGCCAGGGATCCTCCTAAACTACTCTTGGTCGTCGTCAGTGGGCTGCACGTAGTAGTAGGCACCTCCAGTGTAGTAGGAGTCGTTGTCAACGGTGGCGTCTTGCTCCTGGACTCCAACGTCTGGTCGCAGCAATCGGGTATAAAAAGAGGGAAAAGGGGGACGAAAGCAACCGTGAGTACTCATCCAAAGTACTCGCAAGCAAGGAGCTACACTACATATGTATGCATTGGTATCAAATGGAAAAAGGGGTAACATATGTGGACTGAACTGCAGAAAGTCCGAATAAGAGGGGGATAGCTAGTCATATCGAAGACTACGCTTCTGGTAACCTCCATCTTGCAGCAGAAGAAGAGAGTAGATGGTAAGTTCACCAAGTAGCATCGCATAGCATAATCCTACCCGGTGATCCTCCCCTCGTCGCCCTATGAGAGAGCGATCACCGGTTGTATCTGGCACTTGGAAGGGTGTGTTTTATTAAGTATCCGGTTCTAGTTGTCATAAGGTCAAGGTACAGCTCCAAGTTGTCCTGTTACCGAAGATCACGGCTATTCGAATAGATTAACTTCCCTGCAGGGGTGCACCACATTTCCCAACACGCTTGATCCCCTTTGTCCGGACACATTTGTCGGGGTCATGCCCGGCCTCGGAAGATCAACACGTCGCAGCCCTACCTAGGCACAACAAAGAGGTCAGCATGTCGGTCTAAATCCTATGGCGCAGGGGTCTGGGCCCATCGCCCATTGCACACCTGCACGTTGCGTACGCGGCCTGTGAGCAGACCTAGCCTCCCTTATACAAGAGCAGGCGTTCCAGTCCAACCCGGCGCGCGCCGCTCAGTCGCTGACATCACGAAGGCTTCGACTGATACCACAACATCGAGTGCCCATAATTGTTCCCACGTAGTTGGTTAGTGCGTATAGGCCAGTAGCCAGACTCAAATCAAATACCCAGATCTCGTTAAGCGTGTTATTTTGAAGTAACCGCGAACGCCGACCAGGGCCAGGCCCACCTCTCACCTAGGTGGTCTCAACCTGCCCTATCGCTCCGCCACAAAGTAACAGTTGGGGGCCGTCGGGAACCCAGGCCCACCACTACCGGGATGGAACCACCCGTCCTTTCAGCCCCCACACCGGAATCACTCGCGGGTACTCTACGAGCCGACCCGACTTTAGTCACCACATGTATCATATATCATTTATGTAAGTATATACCCGTGTTCACCTCCCTAGTGATCACGGCCCGATAGTATAGCATGGCAGATGGACAAGAATGTAGGGCCACTGATGATAATCCAGCATCCTATACTAAGCATTTAGGATTGCAGATAAGGTATCAACAACTATAGCAACAATGACAGGCTATGCAACAGGATAGGATTAACGGAAAGTAGTGACATGCTACACTACTCTAATGCAAGCAGTATAGAGAAGAGTAGGCGATATCTGGTGATCAAGGGGGGGCTTGCCTGGTTGCTCTGGCAAGAGAGAGGGGTCGTCAACACCGTAGTCGTACTGGGTAGCAGCGGCGTCGGTCTCGGTGTCTAGCGAGAGAAGAGGAGGAAGAAACAATAAATATTAAGCAAAAACATGCATGGCGATGCATGACATGACAAGTAGCGGTGCTAGGGGTGCCCTAACGCGGTATGAGGTGGTACCGGTGAAGGGGGGAAACATCCGAAAAATATCCCCGGTGTTTAGCGTTTTCGGACAGATGAACCAGAAGGGGAAAGTTGCGTGTTCGCTATGCTAGGTATGCGTGGCGGACGAATGGGCTGCGTATCCGGATTCGTCTCGTCGTTCTGAGCAACTTTCATGTACAAAGTTTTTCCATCGGAGGTACGGTTTATTTTATATTAATTTTAAAAGATTTAAATCATTATTAGGATTTATTTAATTATTTAAATCAACATTATCTTGAATAGTGTTTGCTGACATCAGCATGATGTCAGCATGACGTCAGCAGTCAACAGAGGTGTTGACTGGTCAAACTGACGTGTGGGTCCCACTAGTCATAGACTGTTTAGTTAATTAACATTAGTTAATTAGGTTAATTAGTCATTAGGTTAATTAATCATAATTAGTTAATTCAATCAGAATTAATTAAGTTAATTAATTAATTAATTATTTTAATTATAAATTAATTATTTTTTATTGTTATTATTATTTTATTATTATTATTATTTTCGTTCAACACGTTCTGTGGGCGGGGCCCATATGTCATTGGGCCAGGGGCCGATGCGGGTTAGCGGCTAACGGGCGTCGTTGCGGGCGAGGCGCCCATCGGGGCGGACCCGAGGCGACGGGGCGGCGCGTGTGTGCGTCGGAGCGCCGGCGCCGGGCGCGTGGTCGGCGGCGCGGCTCGCCGGCCGGCCGCGGCAAGTGGAGGCGATGCAGGGGCGGCGACGCATGTGCGCTAGGGTGGCCGGGCGAAGGCGAGGCGGGTGCGGGGAGCAGGGCCGCGGCCTGGCGCGAGGCGCGAACGACACGGGCGGGCGTCGAGCGCGGCAAGGACGGCAACTGCGGGGGGGCATGATGCGGCGGAGCTCATTGGGGCGGTCGGGGCAGGCGACGCAGCTAGGAGGTGGCGGTGAGCAAGGGGTCGCGGCGGTCGGCATAGGCGGGCGATGGTGCGGTGAGCAGAATGGGCTGGAGCGGGCGGCCACGCGGTGGCGCAGGCAGAGCAACAGCGAGCAGGGGGGAAGGGTCGCAAGCGGGAGGGCGAAGGTAGGGCGCGGCCATCGTTGGGCATGTAGGGCGGCGACAGCAGGCCACCGCGGGTGGGCGCAGGGTCGCCTGGTGCGGTGCGCGCGCGCTGGAGCCAGGAGCGAGCGGTGATCGCGGCGGGGACAGCGCGAGCGCCGTGTGTGAGCGAGGAAAACAGTGAGGGGGAGGAGCTCATAGGGGGAGTGGCAGGGTACGGGGAAGTGGGCTCGGGGAAACTCGGGGTGGCCGACGATGGAGAGGCAGGGAGGCGACGCCGACGAGGTGGCGAACGCGCCGGGGTCCGGCGACAGCGAACGGCGAAGCCGGGGCGGCGCCAGGGGCAATGGCGGCCTTCGGGGAGGAAGGCGAGGCATCCGGTGAGCGACAGGCGGCGACAGGGAGGAGGTCCGGTGACGGCGTCGTGGCCGATGCGGCGACGGGAGCAGTCGGGGTCGAGCCCCGATCCAGATCGGGAGGGAAGAGGTGTGGGGGAGATCGTGGGGAGAGGGATCGCGTGAGGGGGGAGTGGGGTGTCTCTAGGGTTTCGGGCACCCAGGGGAGGTTAGTAAAGGGCGCGGTTGGGCCGGCCTGGCGGCCTGGCAGCCTGCTGGGCCAAGGCCCAATTGGGGGGTCTTTCTTTCTTCTTTTTTTGTTAGTTTTGTCTTTTCCCTTTGTCTTTTATTTATTTCTCTCTTCTGTTTTAATTCATTTTAAAATATCTTGGCATTAAAAAGGAGTTTTCTTCACTATAATTACCTAAGTAATATTAGGCACTACCCAAACATTTTTGTTTTAACTTTTGGAAACTTTTATTGTTGACATTAATTTGAATTTGAATTTTGAAACGGTTTCGAATTAACCCGAGATTAACTATAGTGACAGAGGTGATGTGGCACCATTAGCGTGGGATTACTGTAGCTTAATTACCCGGGCATTACAGACCTACAGTCCGTTCGGGGCTTCGGAGAGGGGAATCCGTCGCCATCGTCATCATCAACCTTCCTCCTTCACCAATGTCATGATGCTCACCACCGTGCATGAGTAATTCCATCGTAGGCTTGCTGGACGGTGATGGGTTGGATGAGATTTATCTTGTAATCAAGTTAGTTTTGTTAGGGTTTGATCCCTAGTATCCACTATGTTCTGAGATTTATGTTGCTATGACTTTGCTATGCTTAATGCTTGTCACTAGGGCCCGAGTTCCATGATTTCAGACCTGAACCTATTATGTTTTCATCAATATATGAGAGTTCTTGATCCTATCTTGCAAGTCTATAGTCACCTACTATGTGTTATGATCCGGCAACCCCGAAGTGACAATAATCGGGACCACTCCCGGTGATGACCGTAGTTTGAGGAGTTCATGTATTCACTATGTGTTAATGCTTTGGTCCGGTGCCCTATTAAAAGGAGGCCTTAATATCCCTTAGTTTCCAATAGGACCCCGCTGCCACGGGAGGGTAGGACAAAAGATGTCATGCAAGTTCTTTTCCATAAGCATGTATGA